CTATGTGCATCTGCAGCTACACATAGTAAATCAGAAGTATTATTTCCACACTGGAGAGGAGCACTTCAGAGGAATAACAGGAACCAGGAATACCTGTGTCCAGAGAAGATAAAAAGGTTAATGGCATCAACAATGACAAGAATACTTCAATTATTTTCCATTTTCCAAACACATCTGAACTTGCAGCTAGACTGTAGGCCTTAGGCGTTTCCACTTTTTCTCAATTATCTCATAGCAAATCCATGTCTTCTCTACCTGTTCGGTATGTTCGTCTTCTATTAGAAGAATCTGCTTTCTTATATAGTACAGGAGCCAGTTCAATATTAACCAGAGCAGCAAACACCATTCTTCAGTGGTCTGTCCTAACACATGGCACACCTTGCAATCTCCAACTCTTCTGGGTAGTTAGAAAGGGAATAAGAATTTACCTAAGACTAAGGGACTTTGGTGTAAGGTTTGCTTTAATTTCAAGATCTATTCCAACAGAATCTCCGCTATGGTTTTTCTCCTCAGCAGTTTCCCTATTTTACTTTGTGACATTTGGGCCAATCAGTTGCATGATACCATCCAGATGTGGCAAGAAGACAACTGCAATTACCAAATCTATGATCAAAGACCAATACTTCATTGAGTATCGTTTGCCATGTCTAGATGGGTAAGAAAGAATTTAAAAAAAAAATAAAAAAATCAAAGTGCTAAGGAAAGGCACTAAACCCAGTTACAGCTTATGACAGTGAGCTTGCAGCTACATTCTAAACATAAAGGAAATAGGTCTGTTTATCAAACTCAAAATGCAAGCCTAGTTACAGCAATACAGTGGATGGCCAGAAGCTGTTACAAATGACTGATGCTGTTTCTCAACTGTCCCTCAAGCATGAATGCTGCATTTTCTTTAGCAAACAAATGCAATTTCATTCTGCCCCCAGTATGAAGTAAGGAGTTTTTCTTTGGAAAATATTAACCCTAAATAACATCTGAACTTACCCTTCTAGCAGGCTACTAGAGGTCTAGAAATAAAAGGCAACATCAGAAAATTTTAGGAGGTGCTGAAACATTTGTTTTGAAGTTTTATTACAAAAATATATTTGCAAACATACAAAATTTTGGATGAAAAAATGCTCATTTTTAAACATTTATGCAATAACTTAATAACTGCAAACATACATAGGTGCTATAAAATCCATACCAAAAACGTTAATGATGCAGTATCTACATTTATTGACTCAGTATCATTCCTGTTCCAGTTTCCAGAAATCTTTCCTGAAGCCCCCCTTTCCCATGATCTTCAGATTAAAGGAACATGCAAATGGGTACAACTGGTGCATCCACAAAAGTGAAAAAAACCAGAAATTTATACTAAAAGCACATAATGTACATAAATCCCCTAACTAACCATATGCCCATACACTGAATAGATTAAAAATAAATACACCACCAAATCAGAGATACTGCAATTTTTCCAACTTGAAGTGAAAGGAAGATATTGCATCTTAACATTTTTGTAACATTGCCAGACAAAACTGAGCTGATACATATTGCACACACTCCTCCTGTTAAGATATGCTGTACAAAGCAACCCAAATACCTGGCAAAAAGGTGGCTGATTTGTTTAGAACAGTTGTAAAAAACCAAGAAGTTCCAAATTAAAGTTTGTTTTCAAAAACATTTCAGAAATTATATCAAGTGACTACACACGGCATAATGGGTTTCAGAAACATACCAAAAGGAAGCAATTAGAAATGCAAGCAAAAAAGAGATATATCCAGCAGCGTTTGAATATTGAGTATTTATACACAGAATTAAACATTTTATATGAAGTCAAGATGAATCATTTAAATATTTTTAACTTTACTCAAACATTCTGCAAATCTTGTTTAATTTGGAAAGATAAACTGCTTCTGAAGTAATGGCTGTTAGGCACCTTTCATATAAACTTTGCATTATTAAATAACAGCAGATAAAGTCTAACTACAAAACTCAGAATTTTGATTTTTCCTGAACAATTCAGCAGCTGTATGTTTTCGAAATTTGTCTTTTGTTAGGTTTGAGCCTTTTCAAATTTTTGTTTCCTAGTGACAATGCTAGAGACAAAACACAAGCTTAGATAATACAATGACTTTGGGGAGTATAATCGAAACTAATAATCTTTTAATTCACAGAACAGGTAAAAGCCCATTAAGACAGTCATTTCACACAACCCAAACAAAAAAACACCCCCAAAAACCCCAGCTTGAAAATGGTCACAGTTATTTCCTGTGATGACCCATGGCAACAACTTGACACGCACTGTTATCCCTACATGTGGATAACACGAATCAAGCACTTCAACAAGCTGTAATTTTAGATTTATGCAAAAACTTAAATAACAGTCCACATAAAAAAAAAAATTAAAATTTTACAGTCTAGCTGAGCTTGCGTTTTGCAATGCAACTTTTAAAGAGGTTTATCTGTTAAACCCACTGCTCTGGCACTTGCCATCAGTATCTGCAGTGTACTGGATAGCACCTCAGTTGGTTATGGTGCCTGCTGGCTACACGTTAAGAGGTTAGAACAAATGTGTGCAGGTGTTTGAGATGAACAGGTTTGTTGTAAAAATGCCTCATGACTGTGATTTCAACTGTTTCTCTTCTAATTCATTTTGAAAGCTGAAGCGGAGGGAAGTAAATCAATAATGTATTGCTAACAGTAGATTGTAAAGTAAGGATCTGCCAGCTGCTTGTGGGGGTTTGTGAACAGCTGGAAACAAGTTAAGGATATTCAAAGTGGAGTCAAACTTCTGTAACAGCACTGCTACTCCACACAGCATTACTTTTGTCAACTGTACTTGACTGAAGAACTCAAAATACAACTCCTTCCTATCATTTCTATAGATCTTTGGATATGACTGCATTTAGCAAACAGTACAAATATGCACTATCAGCTTCCAATATGTCTATTCTTACAATCTTTCATCAAACCTTCCTCTGAAGAAACTGGAAGCTGCCCATAAGAAGTGAGAGTTATGGACTTCATCTTTGCCAAACCCAGATAAAAAGCAACTCTATTTGGTTTAGGCTATCCATTTTTGTTTAGAGGAACTGCTCACTGGTGTGTCCCTTTTAGTGAAACTTTTCCTAAAAATCCCAACAAAACAAATTAACTTAGATCTCAGATCTCATTTGAGTCTCACTGTTTATGCACATACACAGTATTATAACTCTAGAATTTACGTAGGAAGCTCCTATGTTCCTTACCAAGGCAGTGTTTATATTGCTGAATTGAAATGCTACCATTAAAGCCAATATAATTCTTGATGAATGTGCATGACATTAGCATATCTCCCTGAATCTTGCACATTTTCTTAACAAAATACTACATATTTTAACTGGAAACACTGAACTCGGAGGCTGAGAAGAGCTTTTCAGAAGGCAGGTAGTGCTAAACAAAACATATCTTCCACTAAAAAGCTATGAAAAAACCCTAAAATAGATCAAATACTTAAAAATGTAAATATTTGTTGTATCTAAAACATACAGATATGTGAATGAGTCACAATTAAAGCTCAATTACTAGCTTCCAATGAAATGACCATGCACCTTGACTATGTCAACAATAACTAATCCTTACGATATATACATACACATATATGTTGTCAGGAGCCAAACAATCTTTTTCTTGATATTTCAATAGTGCTTGCGGGAGAAGAAAAAAGCTGTACATTATAACTCACTACAGATAATCTGTAGTGATTATCTGTAGTAGATCTGTACAGATTATCTGTAGAGTTTATCTCAATAAATCAAAACTTTTCTACTGGAAAAAGCATTCTTTAAAACTGCTATTGCTGGAGTCTTACTAATTACCCTTGCATGCCTTCGAGAAATAAATAGAGGCCACAAGTAAACCAACACAGCAGCATAAGAAACTATAATTAGAAATTTTCTGATTTCAAGTGGGAAAGTATCCAGTTAAATTTATATATTATTGAATAGAGAATTACTAAATCACATATATGAAGAAGTAATATTTTAATTAGAGAAACTTCAGACTATGAAGTATACACTAACAATCTGGGAAGAAGGCAACAGAAGCATACATTTGTTCCCCATCTGCATAGTTTCAATACTGCAGTTCCAACAACTGAGGAATGAAAGTCAACTATGACATGGTCCATCCTTAAGCTTAAAGGGAAACAACGTATTTCAATTGTATCAAATGCTGCTAAACGGGAAGAGGGTCTTCCAGTGGTGCTCTCCTAACTATAAATGTAAAACAAGAGAACTTCAACATGCAACAGAACCACTCCATTGCTTAAAAAAATCCCAAACCAATACAATCACTGAAGATTTTGCATATTTCAAGTTTTGCCTTTTTAAAGAAAGTGGCCTCACTCATTTGGGTATCTGTTTAATGTCAGCAATGCAGAAGCAAGTAAGATTAATGGAATATTTAAACGATGGATTTATGTGCATGAGGCTAGAGACTGTCAATGTATTGAGCTCCAAAGGCCTGCCTTCCAGATCCATTCCTTTCCCACACCTGCCAACTTCATCCCAAGGGATTTTGCTCTGCTTTTCCTCAGTCCTTCAAATTGCAACTAGGTTCCCACAACTGAATTTTGTTCCGGTGTGGTGTAGTGTACTACTTGCTGGTTTACGTAGAATTGAGTCTGTAATCCTTGGACAGTGAATACAGCTAGGAATGATAGCCAGAGCAAACATTTCTACATTCACTTAATGCTAATGAGAGCTCAAATGCAACTTAAGTCCCCTCCCCAGTTAAGAAAAAATAAAATAAATAAAAAAAAAAGAAAAAGAAAAAGGTTTGCTGGTGACTATCACAGTGAAAACCTCCATCACTTCTGAGAACATTATTTTCATAAGTATTTAAGGAATAGTCTTTCCTAACAGGTTCATATTCAAGACGTTGAAAACTAAATATTCTTTTACAAAAATATTAGTTTTATAGATGAGGCATAATAGTTTCTAAAATTGATACATTTTAAGTAGATTTAGCTTCAATTATAGCTTAATGTTGTCCGTACTCTTGGTTAGGACTTGCAAGTAGACTTCATGTATAGTGCTGAGAAAACGGGAATCATTCTGCAGGGGAAAAAAAAAAAAAAAAAGAAAACCAAACACCACATTAGAAACATTAGTTAAAAGGTGCAAAGAAAGTTTAATTTAATGCCATTTAAGAAGTGCATAAGGATTCTTTGTAGTGCTATCAGAGATAAGGGAACTAGCTGCATACTTGCACGAAAGGCAGTGCTCTTTGGACAACATAAAGACTTTTAACCACGAAGGTGGTAAGGCAGCTAAAGAGATCACCAAGCACACTGGATGCTCACCCAAGCAAACCAGGGGTCACTAGGTCAGCCTTGGCCATGTAATTTCAGTTCCTTCCAGAGTCCAAGCCTTAGTCCTAGACACAGGAAATTCCATCCTGTGTACAGGCTCTCAAATAAAGTCTGCCTGAGTGCCAGAAGTAATGTTATTTCTGTTATCAGACCAGCCTGAAAGGTATTACAGTGTGTTATCCAAGAATTCTCATGTCAAAGCATGACTGGGAAGTGAATCTGATTAAGCTATAGACAATATGTAACATTTCAAATGACAAGTTTACAAAACTAGCATCTAATCAGCTAGCCTGAAGATGTAATACTCCTTTCAGAAAGATCTGTGCAGCAAAACTAGTATCCTGCTTGGAGCGCAGTGTAAGCACTCCCATGCTGCAGGGTACACATATTCTGGTGTTCATTCAATGATCTTTAGATATAGAGAGAAGACTGGAGACAAATATTCCAATTAGCTCTCAAGTCAGTGATGTTCTTCACACTACTGGGTGAGAATCCGTGTGCCGTGTCTCTAATGAGAAGATGATTCCTGGCAGTTGAGCTCAGCTGTAAGACTTAGAAGTAAGCTAGCTGAAGTCTTTAAAGAGAACACCCCCCCCAATACACAAAAAGGTTATGCAAAAAGGAACACCACAAGTAAAACAGATAGCCCAGACAATGATGGGATCTGGCAGCTGCCGTTTTTGGTCCCAACAGCTTAATTGCTGGGAAGATACTGTTTGTAATATTTAGACTTGGGTTTTGGGTGTAAGCTCTAACATCAACATGGAGGGGGCAAGAGAATCCCGTTAACAAAGTTAAATCCGGAGTCAAAGTTTATCATTCATGGCAACTTCACCATGACACAGTGACATGAGGTCAGAATGATCTCAATACATGGCTATTTACAACATTACAGATCTAATTCACCTGAACTTTTGAGTCCCTAGAAACAGAACTAGACCTCTGCAATTTCCGTTTCAAAAGACACATACTTTGAGTAAAGATCAGGAACCGATCTAGGGAACTGGAAGCAGGAAAGCCTTCCTTGGGAAAGCAGGAACACTTACAAAGACAACAAAACCAATCCCCCAAGACCATACCAGGGTTTCTGCTAGTGCAACTTTTTCCTCACTTGTCCACAAATTCATATGGATGTGAAAGGACACATCTGATGTACAGACCTTTCCTCTCAAGTCTTCCATCTTACCACCAGAAGGAGCAAGCTGTGCTATACTGTGTACAGTGTGGAGTAATATACCCCTTCAAACAGAAAGGAACAACCTCTGTGATGTTTCAGGGCAAAAGGAGTTATTAGTGGTACAGAATTTCTCTGGACTGGCTACTGCACTCAGAACCCCATCCCTCAGAAATTGAGCTCTATAAAGACAGGACCTTTATTAGATGTACCAGTGCTTCTTGAAGCTGAGACCTAGTGAGAACAGTAGGAGGTATAGTCTGAATGTCTGTTGTTCCAAGTGTCAAAGGCGAAGAAGAATTGGCTTTATTCTCCATTTCAGTAGGTTTTGTAGCTGATTGCTGAAAAACACTGGGAGACAAGAGGATTGAAGGTGTTACTGTAGTTGTGGCTGTAACAAACTGTGGAGGTGCAACCTGTAAAAGAACAGAAAACTAATAAGCACTGTGTCCAGTATGAATGAATGCAGTTATAAAGGGTGGAGAGAAAAGCATACAGGGAACAGATTGTAGCCACTATTATTCAGTCAGATATTACAGAGTAGCTGCTCTTAATGAAGAAATAGCTACCTATGAAGATTGCTATCACTAGTAATTCTCATTTTAAAAGCTGAAGAAGTCTTAAGTCTTAAATGTTCTTGCATGCAGACTCCTTCCTCCTCATGTGGTTACTACCTCCCGGGAATTTCGAAACATGAATACACTGAATAAAAGATGAGCTTTTTGCTTTGGTAATTGAAGGAGCCTGTGGTGGTTTTGCAGGTTATTTCTCATACGAGTTTACAGAAAGTCTAGTCCTGCTTCTCACATGTCCCCTTCTGTGGTCTCAAACAGATAAACTTATAAACTGAAGTAAAGTATCTCAAAGATACTTAAAATGATTGATGAAGTCATTTGGAGTACACAAAAATATTCTAAGTACATTTTCCCATGTGGGGAGGGGGATCATGAATTTTCTGAGGACCATCTTCCCTTCTCATTCTTCCACTGGTTTGTGTGCATTTTGTTACAGATATGCACACACTGCCATTACCACATCTTCTTTTAAACATAAACTGCAAATGTATAGGAAATATTAAATTTGCATAAAGTAGACATGAATAAACAGTAGCTTGGAGCAACTCTGACATCTCCTAATAACTGCAATTATTATTCACTCAAAAGATACCAAGACTGAATGTGATACATAAAGATGTTTTATATAGAAAAGAGTTTCCCTTGGCTAAACAAAAAGCTTCAGAAGAAAAAAGCACAAGGCCATCTAAAGTTAACGTGTATGTAACAACAACAACAACAGCAGGACTACCAAACTGATTTTGTTATAGTCAAAACTGTGAAGACTTACAGCGTGGGATTTCAGCTGAAGGCAGCGTGTTTAAACCCACAAATGCAGTTTACCATATAACATGCACGTTTCTTGAAATTCCAAAATTCACATAAAATGCTTTTATTTAGGTAATTATTTACTGTGTCACAAACAGACTATATAGCTTGTCTTAGAGCAGGCCAGTAGCTACAACAGCATTTTACTTTACGCAGGACCATTTTTACTGCCTTCGGAATCACATCTGGGCATGCCGCTAACACTGGTTTTATGTAATGCAAGTTGGACAAGAATGAGGCAATTTAACAGATTTGAAAAAGGAGGGGATGGGTAAAGGAAAAGCAGAATTAAGTTACAGATGGTATCCTGAAAAGAATACATAACTACAAGATAATTAAAAACAATTCTTGAAGACTTGACTATTACTAGTTATTTTTGAACTGTTATTCAGAGGCAGTTCTAATAATGCTAAAACTGTATTTGGATCACTAAAACTTGCTATTAGGAAATTTTGCACTTAAAAATTACTTGTTATTCTTGTCTTCCTTTTTTTTTTGCTTGGTATCTTTTTCATAAAATACAAACTCTCTCAGGAAAAATGAAAGACACAGTAGGGCAGGGATTGCCTGTTATGCCTGCTCTGAGGCACTTAAGATTGGGCTAAGGCTAATAGACCCTACTGCATTAGTAGTGCTTGCTTACAAGATAATAAAACCAGTTCAGATGGTGCAAGTTAACCTGACTCGAGTCTTGCAAACTCAATGCAAGACTCAGATCAAAAATGTATTGTAATTTCTGCATTAGCAACAACAATAAGAGGCACTATCCAACAAAAAGTGTACTCATTCACAGCAGGCTACAGAAACTCCCCCTTGCTTCAGGATGGCAGCTTCCTGCTTTATAACAGCACTTTAAATATGATCAGAGGTCAATGACTATTTGAGACACCAACTGCTTACCACAGTTTCACAACTATCCCCCTTTTTTTAAGAAAACCAACAAACAATTAGCAGGAGTATTTATTCACTTACTTGACTTGCTTTAGACAAAGTTTTCGGCTGTGGAAATATTTCTGATTCCTTGCTTTGTTGTACAGGCTAAGATGAAAAGAAAGCATAATCGACGGGTTAGCATCCACAGCTCAATTTCCAGAGGTGGTTCTCTAGTTTTATGAAAGCACAGAAATGCAGATTTCAGACAGTAGATGAAATTTGTTCCATTTTGTAGAACTGATAAAATCAATGGGAAGTTGGAAAAAGATGAAAATATTTTAATTTATATTTTATACTTTCAATATTACAGCAAACCCGTAAAGCCTAACAAAACACTTCTGAAGAAACACCACTACAGTTAAAAAAACAAACATTAAAACACTGAAACTGGGAACAAAACAGATGCTAAAAAGTGAAGAGTTGAATACCTTGTAACCAGTTTGGTAAACTGCCAGGAAGGTTAAGTTCAGTATGTTTTTTCTATACTGATATAATAAACTCTACAGAAAATTAAATGCTGTTTTCTGCTAGATTTTTGCTAGAAGTATTTACAGCTTTGCAAACAGCATCCAGATATTTCGTTAGTCAGATTTCAAGACTATAGTATAATAAAATTCAAATATTACAGAATACTAGAAAACACAATAGAAGTCACATAGATCAGGTACTTTTAATTTCTGTTGCATTCTTCAAAGGACTTGTTATAGCTGTATGGAATACCTCTTGGAAACACAGAACTGGAAAAAACCCTTTGCAACAGAGTTCTTAGCTTACTTGAACTGCAATGAAAAACACTCAGGGAATTGATAAGCCTTAATGGCAAAAATAAAGTTAGCTTTATGAAGTGGTAACAACCACAAGATCAATTCTTAAAGTCTTAAGAGTTAAGAAGAGTTACAAAGTCTTGCTAGTTTGATAGTATATTTGGACTATGAAAACTTTTGTCTAATGAAAATACGTGCATACAGTGGACATGTTGGAAGGAAAACAAGGGTGTAGAACTAGCATACAAAGCAATAATTTCAAGGCTATCCAGCAGATGTTGAATAATCACAGTCAGGGACAGTCATGAATAAACCCAGCTCGTTTTTCTAAATGCTCAAAGATGTCACAATCTTCAGTCAAATCTGTACCAAGGTTTAGTACTACACAAAAGAAAAATACTGCTCAGAACATACAGTTCAATACTAGATCAGGACAGCTGCTCAGTTTGTACTTCTGCAATTTGTACTCCCTCTGAAAAATCAATCAGTTCACACATCTCAAAAAGGTGATCTCTAGTAAAATAATCCTGGCACTTACCAGTAACAGCTACCTTGAAAAATGTCAGGAACAGCAATAGATTAGAAATAAGGTAATTAGAAAGCACAATAAACACACACCCATTTCTTAAACATTAGATCAGTGATAACCCCCTTTTCTGAGGACACAAAAGCAATAATTTTAAATACAAGGTATTCTAAAATAATGCTTAGGCCAAGTTACAGGCTGAAGAGCTGAACTTTTAATTGGCTCTCTGTTATGAGGAAGTCATCGCCATACTAATAGCAAACGCAGCAGCTGACCCAGACATGGCTACCAAAGACCTTGTTAAAACCAAAAACAAGCACTAGATAGTGACAAACCCAAGAACATTCATGCAGATACAGTTGTAAGTAGTTTCGTTTGGTGTGTTTTATTCCTGCATTATCACTGTACCCAAGATGCAAGAAGACATGATCAAACACTGGCTTAGACTCTATGAACACCAATAAAATAAAATATTAATGCAACAAAGCACTACAGAAAGTTACTCCCTTTGGAGAAAAAAACAAATCCAATAACCCAAACTCAATGTCCTTACTATTGAGGTAGCCAATCATACAGCACAACAACACTAACTGATCAGAAATAATTTATAACACAAAGCCACAGGCATTAACCTGTCAGGTTAGCAGTGACATTTTCACTTAGTCTCCCAAAACAAACATATTGCTTTGGCAGATATTAAGGCATAGACAATAGATTCTTCTCCAAGAAATAAAGTTTAAGAGGTCCTTTGTAAGTGATGCTAGGATACAGTAAACCAAGGTTATCAATTAAGACAAAATAAATTGGTTTATGATCTATTTTACTAAATAACCAACAGTATCTCAGTGCAGCCCACAGGTATCCCTAGGAGAAGGGGGTAAAAATTGAAGGAGTACAAAACATCCAAAGCAAAATAACCAGAAACAGGAAATTGTTAATTTGTACCTTCAAAAAAAGGTACAGGCCACACGTCCAGAACATCAACTCTCCTAACACTGATCAGTCTGTAACCTTCTGTCCCTTCTCTGATCATCAGTTCTTAGCAGCATTTTTCTGTCACAATTACAGATGAATTCTTTAGGACTTATACATCCCCTAACAGCATTAGCTTGAAAAGCCTCCTCCTCTACAGGCAGGTCTGTCACTGATAGCAGATGCTTATGATCTAAAACTAATGGAATTGGATTTCCAAGTTAGCATTTAATCAATATCCCACAGCGGATGTCCATAATTATTTTTAAAAGGTTAATATATAACAGCACATTTTCCAAGAGAAAAATACACATAGCCTAAGAACAGTCTAAAGCTTTGAAAAAAATACACATAGCCTAAGCACAGTTTAAAGATTTGAAAAAATACACATAGCCTAAGCACAGTCTAAAGCTTTATGGATATAAAAGCCCACAGAATACCTGAAGGGGAGAGGTTATCTTGCTGTTCAAGGTTGATGGCTTACTGTGAGATTCTTTGAAGCTCTCTGGTGTTGCAAGTTGGCCAACCGAGGCAGCGATGTTTGGCGTTAAGGAAGTCTTAGTGAGAGACTGCTGTTGCATTTGGTCATGCTGTGGGGTCAACCTGAGTTTCTGGAGAAGATCAACACTTGTATGGGATGTATTTGAGACAGTTCCTGTATTTGCTGATGTCAAGGGTGCTGTAAGCTGACTTTGGCCAGCCATTAGATTTTGTGGACCGTGGTTCACTTCAGATGGCGGCTGATTCACTAGTGGGGATATCTGCTTGGCAGCTTGCTGCATAACTTGCATTATGCTGTTGCTTGCTTTGAGGCCAGGAAGCATCTGAGCAGGAGCAGCTTCCATTGTTGAAGCTGAATTAAGAATAGGGCTTAAACGAACTGAATAGCTTGAAACATTTTTTACATCAGGCTGGGAAACTGGAGGTATCAGCATAGGTGTTAAACATTCTTGCTGATTCAAAGGATTGGCACTGGTTTTAACGTTTGGACTTTCAGATTTCCCTAGTGATTGTTGTATTACTGCTGACTGATCAAAGGAAAAAGGCAAGAGCAAATTGTGCTGCTCTCTGGCAGAGGCATCAGTCTGCAACTTGTCCATTCTCTCAGGATTGGGATACGGAGCTACTGGTTGTTCCTTTGATACAGAGGTTCCAAACAGTTCCTCCAAAGTCAGATGCTTTTGCCTTGGCTAGAAAGAGAAAAGGAAGTTTTCAGTTTAGAAACATACATACCACTGTGCATCTCACACTGTTGCAATTTCAATAAAACTATAAAAGACAAGTAGGTCAAATGCATTTAAAATATAGTTTGGCTACCAAGTGTGTTCTATTTGCATGGATTTTAAAATCCATTTAATTTACATGGAATATCCTGTCTATGTAAAGTTTTTCTCTACAGCCCTCTATGGATGCACTGTGTACTAGTAGTAAAGAAAGGCAAAGGCTATGGATTCTGTCATTAAGATGGCATCCACCACCATCAATCCTTGGGGGCCAGTGTGGGAGAAGAACATATACGTTCAACAAAATCCACATAGAATTTATACACTTGGAAATAACTGAATGGCCTAAAAGATGGCAAGGGAACAGAGAAACCTGAAGGCACACAGCTCATCTAGCAATACATGCCTTGGCAGTTCTTCTCACCATTTTCATTAACAAGGCAACAGATGTTGCACTAGGTAAAAGTATGTGTATTGACCTGAGCACATGTATATGTATCTCCTTGAAAAGTGTGTATATATATACACACATTGTAACATCTAACAGTCCTTCAGTATGTCCCAAAAATACACATCTAGCCTACACCACTGACGTTGTTAAAAAAAAATAATCTAATTTTAAGGATATAATCTTCTTAATATTTTGCTGAGAATATTTTAACATGTGTTTCACTAAAGAGAAAAAGAACAGCTATTAACACCCTTCACCTCAAAGTTTTCCTTTATTTTTCCTTTTTTTTTTTTTTTTTTTTTAAAGGTTGCACAGGACCAGAAGTTATGTAAAACAGCTGGACTAAAATACAACATTCTGTTCAGAAGACTGAATGGCCTGCAGCACAATTCCAGGGCATTCTGATGGTATGTCTAAACAAAGATGCTATTTTACAATGACAGCTACTGCACCATGACATTGCTATGCTAGCTCTAATTTTACTAGATAAGAGCAGTGAAGGTATGGCAGTACAGGTTGCATGCAAGTAGCTTAACAAAAAAACCTTGAGCTTGAAATGACATTGACTTTTGCTCAGGTTACTAATCTATACTGTCATTGCTGTTACTCATTTTTAGCTAGCCTAAAGTCAGGCCAATTTCATTTTGCAGCTGCGACATTCTGCAGTTTATAATCCTTGTTAATGATGTTAGGATTCTTCCTAGAAAGTTGCTCTTACTTTTCTTCACTGATCTTAATGTTCTGGAGACCTGTCCTTCAACTGCAAGGATTCCATTAAGAGAAAAATCACTATTCCATCTCATCTGAAACTGAGCTTTTCACTTCAGTATGATAAATCAACTATCTTTCCTTTATCACAAGATACAAGAGTCAAGTAATAAAAAGAAATGTCTACCATTCTCTGATCCAAGTCAGACTAACCCCTTATGTGGATACAGTCTCAAACGTGGAATTGATTTCAAGCCTGAAGTATAAAAATACAACTCTTTTGCCTGCCCCATCTTTAGCTGGGGTATATGCCGAGTGCATCATCAGCTCAGTGTGTTATGAAGACCCTTTCAGCAAGTGCTGCAAAAAGGCAACACAATTGATTTACTTGATAGGAACAGAGTGCTGCTCAGAGGGCTTCTCCAGAAATCATTTCAGATACATTGAAACACAAATTAACAGTCAGAACTGGCACTTCGTGATGTTCCGTTTCAGTTCTGCTGATCACCGGCACAAAAAGATTTAATGATACAAGCAATTTTCACTTTGAACTGCCAAGATAAAAACCTTGAACTTCAGATTATCACAGAAGAGGTATTTATTTTTCATTTGCACATCCGTGACATCTTCAGCATGAGATGAAGTTAGTCATTCAACATGCAAGTGGGACGTTTTGGGGGGGTTTGGGAATATCACAGTATTTATCTATGAACACTAGTTTTTCATTTCACTGGTCACCTGCTTCAATTAGATGAAAAATGTATTTTCACAGTTATCCTGTAACAGTAGTCCTCCAGTTGTCCATGTTATTAAAAATGTGATTAAGATCAAACACATTTAATATATTTGAACCCAGTTAACTAGCTTTAGAAAGTTACCAGTTATGTTACCAACTAAATTTTACAGATATCTCTGCAGCTATTATTTTAAATAGGTCAACAGAATTAAAAATATTCCATTATACCTGTTCTATAAATTTACTATTTCCCTTTTAACTACCTGAGAGCAATTTATTAGAATCTTATCTTTCCAGTCTTTCCTTTATTAGTTATTTGATTTCTGTTCTGCAACTCCATGTGCTGTTAGGTGAGGCACTTCAGCTGATTGCTTTCTGTCTACATGGAGCAACCCAAAAGAAAATATCTTTTAAAGCAAAGCCTCAGGTGACCCTCGTGCTGGTCTCCAGAGCAGGCGTGCAGCAAGCTGAGCTAGGTGCCAGGGCTCAGTCTGTCACTTACACTGATCCAAGAGCAGAGGTGCTACTGAGAGAGTAGAGGGGACTGTGAGAGCAAATAATCCCAGCAAACTCCCCACCCCACATTTTAATCCATTAACTGTTA